CAAGCAGACATCAGAATCTAGCTTTGAATTTGCTGCATTTTTAGGACTTGTACATAACATAAAATGCTAATCATGTGGTCATTCTGTTGTCTTCAATAAGCGGTGACTATTCCTATCTTTAAAAACAGAAAACAAGCAAAAATAAACAAAGCTCTCTGTTCCTCTGAAAAACAACTGGAAAGCTTAACAGCTTTTCTTCCTCTGGGTCAAGGGAGCTTCCCATATCCCTTCTTGGTTTCGGGTAGCATTTTGAGCCAGTTTCTAACACTCTTGGATTACAGCTTCTTCTTTATTCATGATGTTTATCCCAGGTAATCGAGATGCCGTTGCATTTCTTAAAGCTTCAAATACACACCCCAGTGCAGCCTGGCCCGCAAGCAGTGGGGCACGTGTCAGCCCCTTTGGAGCTCTGCACTTGTGCTCTCTGGGGCCCGGCCTTAAAGTTATGCAGCTCAGCTCCTCCCTTGATGAATGCGCTTGAGGTTTTGCAGCCAGAAATGCTTACTCACTGCCTGGTGCCAACTCGTTGATTCACTGAATAACCAGTTATTTGAAGCAGTTATTGGATTTTAATTTTAGGATCCATTCATTGTGTACATCACTCTCTCTCCTGAGTGTGTGTGTTTAATACCTGAGGATGGAGAATGAGAGGCGGGCCCCAGGCAGCAGAGAGGCCAGAGCACTTACCTGAAGGAGCCCTTGCCTGCAGGAGCTCTTGCCTGAAGGAGAGCTGACCTCCCTACAGGTCGGTGCTGTCCTGAGTAAGGCTGGCCATCTTGTTCTCAGTTGTCATTTGGATCATGCTGTTTTCTCTCTCTGAAGTCTATGTGGCTCTTGAATCAAAATTAGACTCTAGAAATCTTCGGTGCTAAATAAGCACAACTTCACGTACCTGAATCTCTCTCACCACCTGAGGACTCAAGATCTGCTCCCGGCAGGAACACTGGCTCAGACTTCTGCTCCCAACTGGAAGCCAAGGCTTCACACATCATTTGTCTCGAGCAATCGTGTCTCCTCCTCCTCCTTCTCCTTTGGGTCGGGCAGCTGGGGCCCCAGCCTTGAGGCTGGCATCCTCCTCCTCTCTTTTGCACATCACTAACAGTCCATTTCAAACTTTCTATCATGAGTGTTATTCTAAGGGCTGTGGGTTAGGGTTAGGGTTAGGGTTAGGGTTAGGGTTAGGGTTAGGGTTAAGGGCTGTGGAAGGGGCCTCCTTTCCAATGCAAGTGCCTTGATGCCTACACATATGCGCATAGGCACACACGCACACACGTACACATGCATGGGCACATGTGCACATGTGTGCACATGTTCATGGGCACATAAGCACACATGCACACACACTTGCATGGGTGCAACACACATTGCTCTGGGCTCTGCCTTTTTAGAGAAA